TCAATCATGAATGATAACTTTTATATCTGGGTTTTATATTTGTCTGGTTTTATTAGTGTAGAATGGTGTGTGGCATGCTTAGGCAGATCTCTTTTTTTTTTTTCCTTTGAAATAAAAAGTATAGTATATTTCATTAATTCACAAGCACCAAAGTGGTGTAAACCTATGTGCAAAATATTTACATGTCAATTAAGATGTTAATAAGGTCTTCAAAATTTCCCATTGAATAAAGAGTATGACCCAAAATAAAAAAACCAGGGTATAGAGCCACTGAGCTCTAACCCTATCAATATCTTAATATACCTTCTTAAAAACTCATGTTTCTTTTGGAGCCACCCAAAATATAGCAAGAAGGATAGAGATCCACATATTTCTTTCCACTACTAATGCCCTTCCAAGCCCAAATCTCATCCCGCACGACTCAACCCTCACCCGGTAAGCCATAGTCCATAACTTAAGGGTATAGCTGTTTGCTCTCCTTCATAGCTTTAGTTCAAGGTGCTTATTGTTTTGTCATGGAGCTTTCGCTAATGAATGATAATTTTTATATCTGGGTTTTATTATTTATCTGGTTTTTATCAGTGTAGAATGGTGTGTGGCATGCTCACATAGATTTTGTTTTTACGATTTAGGTATGTTTGAGTTTCTTGTCGAACTCTGCTAATTTTTGTTTTTCACTTTAACAACCTGCCAATACTATAGTTTTGAATTTCAATCCTGTTAGGTGTATCTTTCTAACTTTTAAATGTCCTAATTGGAGTTTTAGGTAATTCCCATTTACCCTACCCCTCAACTTGCAGATGATTGATTGATGGTAAACTTGTTATAAAGGCACAATACATTATTTGTTTACTTGAATTGTGTAATATGGGAAGATTGAAATGCTTGGTACTTTTTGACTTTTTTTCTCTAAAGCTTGACCAGTAAGTAACCAGTCTCTTATTAGTTTGATCTGTTAGCAGATGCATTGGAACTTAGATTATTTTATGCTATGTATATACTGACCAACTATATAGCTTGGAAACAGTGGCATGAAATGAATTATTTTGTTTTGTTTTTTTTTGGCCCTTTGAAATTTGGTATTAAATTTTTGAAACAAATTATTTAATGAATTTAAAAAATTAATTGATCTGTAATAATCAGAAATCAGATTGGAAAAAATAAAATTACAATTGTTCTCTGGTTTAAATTAATCAGAAGTTAAGGAAATGAAAAATTCATTCCATTTGTTTAGATCGGGATCAAATTGAAATGGATCAGTTTTTTCAGTTCTTACCTTATTAATTCAGGAAATTAGCGTATAACGACACATTTACATTTCAGAAATGATTAAACTATCCATCATTTAAATGTGTTATAATAATATTTACAATAACATGAGGTCTAAAGTATAAAATGAAAACTTTACCCTTTCGCCAGAGAATATAAAATTCTGTCTTGGGTGTTACTATTCGTCCTTCTTCGTTAATCGATTTTGATTTAGGATTCTCTTGATCTGAAAAAAAAGTTAAAATATTTTTGGTAAACTTTTCAGGTGCTTATATTTGGTAAGCACGTGAAAATTCTATCATGGGTGCTACTATTCGTCTCTCGTTAATTCGGTTTTGACTTAGAATTCTCTTGATCTGAAAAAAAAATATATATATATTTAGTAAATTTTTCACGTGCTTAATAAGTATAAAAAATAAACTACGAATTACAAAGCATACAGTCAATCAAGAATGAAAAAACCTTTTTCTTTTTATTTGAAAACAATGACGAACAAAATAATCAAACAAATTTCTAAGTTTCCTCTTGTTCTTCTCTCTACCCTATTTCACATTTAAATTAAATTCCAATGTCATCAACTCTTATTTCTTTAGATTCTCTTATTCAATCTTTCACTTATTATATCCGAATAAATTTTTCATACCCTATCAAAACGGATATCTATAATTCACAGTTTTTACAAGATAGTCATTTAATTGAGTATTAATATTTTTTAATCTCATTTTGAGTTTTTATTTTTTAAATTCTTAATAATTATTTTTGTCATTTTTTAACGTATGACCGATTAATAACTAGTAGTATTATGAGATAAGCATTTGCACTATCACATACACAGATACAGAAGCAAGTTATATAATATTTTGATCACAGCAGTTTGTTACCAAATGACTTAGAATAGAACATGTATTCTAACTAAGTTTGGAAGAATTTTCATCCACCCAAAGATATTGTTCCCTCTTCCGTCAAATTTCAACCATATCAATCTTAAACGAGTTATTACTATATTTTGGCTTTATTCCAATTTTGAATTTTTTTTTTCTTTTTCATTTTTTTCTTGTTTTGTTATAGAAGATTTGTATTTTCAATCATATGGGATGGATCCAAAAGCTTGGTAGAAAGCGTTGTCAACTTTAGATGAAGTTGTTAATTAAGCCAATTGTGTAAAAGAAGAGAAAACATCTCTTCTCAGAGAAGATAAGATCCAAGATCATTAACCATTCAACAAGTTCAGTTGAGGATTAAAATTTGCTTATCAAAATCTGAGTTCCTTTTTCCATGAAGATTTTCGTAATTAATCAAAGGTAAATAAATACTTAGTTTCTTCGTGCTAGATAATTGTTTGGTCTACATGTAGCGGAAAAAGACTCAAATACATACAGAGAGAAAAGGAGGAAGATGATTCCATCATAGCTGCTGAAATTTGTTCAAGAACAATTCTGTCTCTAACATCAAAGTACGAACAATCAACTCTACAAGTTTTATTTTTGGAGGAATTATTGGCTTATTTTTTTCAGACATATCGTTGAGACTAAATTCTAATTGGAATTCTAATTTCCTGATCGATTTCTTCGTAGTCTCTAACCATAATAAGTTTTTGATAATAATTTAACAAACATTTGCAAGTATCTTTCAATTGCTAAATCAATTATTTGTGTTCAGCACTAATCACCAAATGAACAATTTTCTTAATGAAGCTGCTAAAACAAATCCACCAAACTCCAATCTTATCCTCATACCTGCTTCAATGTTCCTTGGGGTCACTTAATAATAAAAATGTTGACAACCATATACTGAGAGTTGTAAATTGATTTACTGACTACTTACCTAAAAGGACCTAACTGATCGATTGTTTTAAAACATGATTCAATTTGAGAGGAAAGGAGTTTCTACAATAGCTTTTCTTTTCGGTTCAGGGTAAATCAAAACTAAAATTTCAGTGTAAATAGCTAAACCTATAACTATCTCTTTTGAGGGAAAAGGATGAGGTAGAAGAGCTATAGGAAAATTAGAAGATGTAAAGAACAAAAATAATGAATTAAATTTCTGAGGATCTAAAGAAGACTACGCAGCTAAATTACAGGTATAGACGAGAGCAGTGTGTGTGTTTTGTTGTATGTAGTCGAGTTAAAAACCTAGTCCTTATGTCGTCTTATTTTTTTGTGTCTCTGGTTCTCACTTCTCTGACTATTCTGAATTCTCTGACTTCTCGGAAATGGATCAGCCCACTCTTTGTCCTCCTCTACAGCTCTGTTCCACCGCTCTTTAAACACTTGAAGCTCCCATGTCGATTGCCTCCTTATCTGTTGAGTCAATTTATACACTAAATGAGCATAAACTTCGCAATTGTACTTGATACTACAACATGGGTGAACTCAGACTGACAACACTAAGTTAACATGAGGCCAGTTGATACCAGGTCTTTGTGACATTATTTTAACCATTAACTTCTGTCTCACAGTAGGATCAAAGTTCAAAATAAATAGGAATAACTGTAACTTCGGTGCTCAAGTCACCATATTCGTTATATGCATAAAATCTCCAATAAAGTAACTCGGGAACATGTTGCTAAAACAGATATGCAATCAAAAAAGAACGTTCTTGCCAAAGACCCATATTGAAAAGCAGATTTGTCACTATTCTCAACAGGATCCAGGGGCTTACCTCCATTCTTGAGTCAAAAATTGGAGTCTTGCGTCCCTGAATATCATGTACAGAATCAGAGAACAAAACAAGAAGTTAACATTTAGAATGAAGGTAGCTCTGGAGACTTGGATAAATAAGGTAAGAACTGAAATGCTCGAAGAAATACAAGGAAGACTAATATTTATTTTTTGCTTAACATTTACCTTACTTGTAGATCCAAAAGTTGCAGTCTGCAAAAGTGCAAGGAAGCGTCAATAAGCAATTACTGAATGCACACAATCAAATATGAAGAGTTTTGCTGGCTACTTGAGAACGATCCTAATACATTTGAACTGTATTTAATGATTTAATGATCCTAATAGTGTATTCTTTTCATTTTCTCCCATTATATAGTTCTGCATTCTTCTTGTTTTTGCATTGGCAGGATTGGGTATATTTGAGGTTGAAAATGTGAGAGAAAAAATACTTAAAAAATTCTACTCTCCAAACTTTTTAGATTCTAGTTTAGCCATGGACACAAATCACAATAAGCAAGCCAAATATCCTTTGCTTGCTTATTTATTCCTGCACAACAATTTCAGCAATTTCATCCTACTAACTTGGTTGCTAAATTTAGGTAGCATAACTAAAAAGTCCAACTTTCTCCTATCATCATAACCACCAAAAACTTGTGATGTCCTCCTGTGTGACTCTCTTTATGCATATCCAAGGTCAATCTAATTGAACTAGTCCAAGAAATTTCCTCAGAAAATATTAAACTAGGTTTGCCAGTGCAACTTTGAGCTTGCTTAAAAGCAGCCATGCAGAGAAACCCCACAAAGGAAACACTGATAAATCCAGTATCAATTCAAGTGCACAGGCTGATAGATAATTATGGATGATTTTATATGTAAGAATATACATAAATAAATAATATATTGAAGATTGTAGAAAACACTAATCACCTTCTTCTCAGGGTGCCCACTTCCTCCCAGAGTTTGAATGCCTTGATGAATGACATACTCGCTGTCAATGATTCCCACATTCTTCGTGCGATCCCCCTACATAATGACATGCTTAGAAATCAATTTGATTGCTGCGGAACAAAATTCATGTGGATGGAGTGAAAATTAAAAAGCACCAAAAAAGTGTCCAATTTTGGAGCGGATCTCACCTGCGCACAATATCCAAGCTTCATATCCATTCCCCATCCATGAACAAGGTCATTCTGAAAAAAGTACTCCTTAGTGTAGATATAAATGGACAAATAATGTTATTTAACGGAATGAAGATACTCAAAAGTTATTCTGCAAGCACTAAATTATCTGAAATCATGAAAATGTGAAGAGTTCAAATTGAACCCAAAGTAGCTTTTTAAGCAAGAACAACAGACCCATGACAAAGCCAGCATTCCTTGAAAAAATGCTGAGAGTTAAAACTGAACCCAAAATTAGCCAGCATTCCCTTGAAAAAAAATGACACTTTCCCTTATTAGCATATCAAGGAGAAAAGAAAATATAGCCCCTCACCCATCAGAAGTACATCTAGTGCTGAAGTGGTGGCTTAGTTCGTATTTGAGCTAGTTTTTCAGATTTCATATGTTTCTTTGAAACCACCTTGAGTTTTCAAAGAGAGGCCAAGGCCACACATGCAGTGGAAATAACACAATGATTGTACTCAAGAATCTTGCTATCCATGATATAAGAATTCTTTAATCTCAAAGAAACTAGATTGTTTCTCAACTTTCTCTATGGATTTTTCACCTAAACAGCAACTAAGTTTTATGTAGGCAGAGTTACCTGAAGCTATTTATCTTTTCTGACAAACAATATATAAGCTGCCATAAGGTCACTCTAGAATCTTTTCATTAAATGGTTTCATAGCAAATTTGAGGATGCAAATATCTCCAGTTTTCCAAAAGAAAACTTTTTACGGTATAAGTAATATTAGAGAAACCCAAGTAAAATGGAAAAAATTATGGTTTAGCCAGTTACCCTTCAATTAAACAATGACTATTGAATTTTCTATCATAGAAAGGTAAATGATATTTTCAGAAAAAGCAAAGATAGTCAAATGATAACAGCATGACACACAAGTTGTAATTTCTTCAAGAACTTCTCTATGGCTTAAAAATTATTTTTTGAGGAACCAAACAAATGAATACCTGTATAAGATGCCAAGTACAATACCAAGCAGACCTTGAAAACACTGGCGCCATACCTTCCACAAATCTGTAAATGCAATATTAGTAGACTAAAATTAGTTATACCTAGTGGAATATTCAGTAAGCATGTGATAGTAGACTTCTATCAACATATACACATAATACTGGAGGATAAAGTTATGAGGCAAAGATAGCATTCAAGCTCCTTGAGAGACTTCAACTCGAGAGGTAGCTTCTGTAGCTGATGTTCTAATGACATTAGAAGTGTGGCTTACTTTCCCAATTCGAGCAACAAACTTATTTTCTCAAACAGACAAATTTTCTTGTCAAGCACAGGTTTGGTGGATGGTTAGTACACTGTAGAAGAAAATAACTACTTCCAGGGTAAAGAAAACAAAAGTAGAAGAGAATGTGGGTTTTCCAACTGTGCTAGCTTACCCAGTGCATGGTGGCCCTTCACTAGCGTTTGTACAGTTCAAATTTCCTCTGACATCAAAAATTCTCCTGTTATCATGTATAGATTTCATGTAAGCTTTAGAAGTGTTGAAATGTAGTGTTGGTTAATAGTTTAGTTCATAACAACCACCCAAGTAACCTGTGACTGACTTTTCTTTTTTGGTGCAGTACCTATGAACAACTTTTGTTCTTGAACGAACAGTAATTCTGTGATGTATTTCAGTTGAATTTGGGTCTAAAGCTGGCTGAGATATCTCCAGGCCTTCTGATTTCACAATTTTTAGGTATCTGAGGCAAAATAGAAATTCTAATTAATCAATGTTCATGAGTTTCAGAACATGAATCTATCTGTAACAGTACACTAAATCCAACCATATAAAGAACAAACATTTTCTACTGTCATCATCCGGACGGTAAGATATTTTACCAAGTAAAACAACTATCCTGTCAATACAGATGGCTACATTAAGGCAAAGCTGCAAGACATGATTTCTAAGCACGTAATGTACTTAGAAATAACTATCTTGTCAATACTAAGAAAGGCGTGCCAAATATTATTCGAGCATGTAATTTACTTCAAATGAGGAGAAGATGAAGGATATAATTCGTCCATCAAGAACTTTAAAGTGAGGATTTAGATGGTACTTTCTAGATTTCTAAGCATGTAGAAATCTCAAACATGTCAAACCACTGCAAGTACTGTCAAAAAAACAGTGAAATACCAAAAAACACTTGGCTAATTTTTCAGCAAGAACTTCAGAACCATCAAGTTTTCTTTTCAACATAAAAGTTTCAGGAATTTTCAGGTTTCAAGCCATTAAAATTATAGCAATTCAACCTTTCAATGATTTTCTATAAATAATAACAAACCAAAGTATAGATTACCTTCCTGGATCAAAATTTTCCACCCCCAGATCTTCATCCCAGAGAAATATGTAGTCATAAACAGACACAACAGTTGGATGCAGAAACCGTTTTGCAAACCACCTGAAAAGAGACGAAAATTGAAATTTTGTCACTGGCACACTGATGGTTCATTTTTCTGTCTGGTGATAAAATGGATTGATTTAAAATCTTTGCGAGTAAAATGACTAAAATTTGAATATTTGTAATAAATCCACTCTAGCATCTGCTAACAAGTTGCACCATGCCAAGTTTAGAAGTTCAAAGGAAAAAAGTTGCTGAAATTAAATTTTACCACTTTGTCTGGTTCTGAGCAACTATGTGTATGGCCCTCTCACTCCATTCAAGATCCCACCATCCATCCACATTGCCATCATAGTGGAATAGAATAACTGTGAAATTCTCTGGAAGAAACTGAAGTCAACAAAGTCAGGCAAATATGTGCAGTCCAGGACATTTTCAACATTCAAAAGGACAGAATGCAATACCTTTTGCACAATAGCATTGACATTATCCTTTTGCTTGATACCAACTGGCAGTGCCAACAAGTTGCGATTGCTGAAAACACCAACCTGTAATTTGATAACATTCAAGTAGACCCATTGTAATCTAGCAATATCATGAAATAATCCATTGTTGTCTACACAACCAAAAATAAGCACTATATTCAGAAAGAACACAGACGGACATGAAGAGTAGGGTTGGATGAGCATCTTACCTTTGACCTTGAACTACTTGTTGACCACAGAGGCCTTAGCTCCAAATCTGACATAGAGTGTTTGATACCCCGTGGTAAACCCTTCAACAGTCCAGAAACCAGCCCAGTTTCCTAGATGAGAACAATAGAAACAACTTATAACAAGAAACATATATCTAACCAAACAGAATATCCGGCTTCTGCAAGTGATAAATATGAAACAAGTGAACCCTACAGCTTGTAAATCAGTTATTGAACGAACGCAATCAACAAGGACAAACAAAGATTTCTAAGCTCTGAAAGGAGAATAAGAAAAAATATTTAGCATGTTTCTCTTTTAGCTTTCAAATATTACCTTGACCATGTCAATAGAATATAGTTTTGCCTCCATCTGAAAGCATTAAAGAGAGAAATAATAGTTAATAAACTCACCACCAGAAAGAAAACAAAAGAAGCAGGGGCCAAGAAGCATCATCAATGACAAAAAGTTGACAAATATGATGCAGATTTTACAAGGATTTCAGCTGACATCGACATTAAGAGCATAAGAAGAGAGCAGAAATTAATAACTACAGTTGAACTATATGGTTCCAACATGTAGATGTCAAGCTGTACTTGAACTGAAATGAATAACCATGAGTAAGATTCAAAGATCGATGGAACTGCAATACCTCTGTCTGTTGATATTGCAAATTTGTGGTCTTATACAATACAATCAAGAGTATTGAACACATAATAACCATAAACGGCTTCACTTTTGATCCGCTTTTTCCCTGCAGCAACATAATAGAAGTTGCAAAATTTACAATCATATCTTGGCATGTATGACAGTTTATGCAAAACCTCAATTTACCTAGCAGCTTTCAACTTAGAATAGAGATAAAATCATACCCCTTCTGGAAGAGCATTCTTTTTCTTGACAAGTGAGTTCCATGATTTAAATGTCTTCATAGACAACCAAGCATAAAAATATCGCTGTAAACTATCAACTGCAAGATGCATAATATAGAAAGTTAAATTAAGAAAAATCCCAAGATCAAGAATTGCATTCCAAGTGTGAATCACAAAGCCTTATTAGAAGATTATTAAAGTAAACTGCAGCAAGTATCCAATACCCACATTACTCCAAACCACAACAAAGGAAACCAAAAGTAACAATAATTTAAAAACAAAGGAATTAACATAAACTTTGCAATATCTTCCAGTTTCAAGCGCTTAACAATCAAAATCCAACTCCATGTGCCCAATATATCATATACACACTAAATAATCCTCTTTACTTTTTTGTCCCTGAGCGAAACTTCTGGTGAGCTTAAGAAGAACATTGGAAGTTGAAAGAGAAGAAAGCAAAGGCAGCTGAATTTAGTAACATGAAAAAACAAGTCAACAGAAACAAATATTTAAGAACATGCATGTGATTGTTTGTACACAAATTTGAAAAGAGACATCCTAAGTTTTGTGTAAGAAACCAACTGGGTAAAAAAGAATAACATTGTATCACGAAAATCAAACACAATAGACCTTCATAAAATGCTCTTAAAATTGGAAAAGCAAAGCTGATAAGCTGATAGAACATAAATCTTACAACACAATCTGAGGCTTCTGATCAGAATTTCTCAAGCCACAAGGACATAAGAAAGTTCATAAGCCAGTATTAACTGGATACTACTCTCTGTTTTTTGCTTGGAAGAAAACTAAATAACTCCATACTTAAAAGGCCTTTACAAAGCAATTAGAGCAACTCAATTTCTTCGAAAATAACGGGTGATTTTAGGTACCGGAAATGCGAGAAAAAAGATGGAGTTTCAAGAAAGATAACGAAAAAAACGCGTTTTTAGATCTAACAGAGGATTCCAGCTCCTTTTAGCAACCAATTTAGAGGAAAAAAAAACAAATATTACGGCTCAATAATTGTAGAACCGAAACGTTTCATATTCCAACATGTAGAAACAAAAAAACTGAAAAGGAAATGAAACTAAACTCTCAACTCATAAAACAGACAAAGCAGAGAGATCCCATTTAACAGTGTATAATACACTGGATTCTGTTTGGAGCTAACCTAGAAACGAAAATTTTTCCGGAAAATCTCAAGAACCCAGAAAAAGAAAATGGAAACCCACAAACCTGAAACGATAATGAGATGGTTTGTGCAGAGAGGATAGCTGGGGAAGATTGATTTGTTGATAACTACTACCACTCCAGATTTGATGAAAAAAACAAGAAATACCCAGAAAAAGGAAAGTGATATAATGATCAATGCGAGAGTATATAGAGAGATAAAGTGAGCTTCAGAGGGAGATTATAGGAAAAAAAATGGAGGAGGCGCCACGTTTGTTTGTGAAGAGAGAACTGAAAAGGTGGAAACTTAATTAATTAATTATTGCATTTGCATGAATTTGATCGAAGAGATTTTTTTTTTGGTTGGTTTTTGTAGCGAGAGATCCAACTGTTCCACACCAATTAAGTGTACAGACACCTCATTTACACACCAAACATGCACAACAATCACTTACAAAATCATCACCATTCGCCACCGTCTGCCACCTTGCTCCTCTTTTTTCTCCAAATTTGTTCAACTAACACCTGCTTCTTGTCTCTTCTGATCAAATTTTTTTTGTTCGAACTCGATTCATCAATTTGAGGTGATTTTTGGATGAAAAGTTCTTGTTTTTTTTGTTTATTTAAGAAATTTTTATACCATTTTTAACAAAACTATGTGACTTACTATATATTTTTATGTCATGATGAGATTTAGATTTAGATATAATATAAATATATATATATATATATATGTGTACGTATTTTTTGGTTTTTGCTTACATGTACATTGATAAATATAGTATATATCTTTTGGCTGGTAGGATACCATGTACTTAGTTAAATGACATTTTCTTAAAGGTAACAACTTTATGAGTATATATTTTTCACTTAAGAGAGAGAGAGAGATATATATATATATATACAAATGTATGTGTATAATTAGATGGTTTCATGATATGCTAATTAAAACCCATCTATCATTATTAGCATTTTATTTTAATGACCATTATTAATTAATCTACTCTTAAAATATATAGTTAACATAGATATAATATAATCTACTAAATTAGTTTCACTATATATTCTTTTAATTTTATGGTAATTATAATACATATAAATGAGAAAAACATCTACTTATATATATATATATATTGTAATCAAAAATTTTATTCCATGAAAAAATTTATTACTTCTCATATTTCTATTAAATTATTAGTTAAAATTAACATTTAAGAAAATGGGGTATATTCATTGTATGAATTACTTTTTCTCATTTAATTGGAATTCAAAAGTAATTAAATTAATCATAATTACCATTAAATGTATATTTATTTACAAGTTATTTCAAATTCATAAGTTGAGGTTGACTAAGTTTAAAGAATCATAAAGAATATTAATTAACCAAACTTTTTACTTCTAGAAACTAATAATCCTTGTTAGTATCATATGTATATAATTATAATAGATGAATTGAATTAATCTATTTATGACGTATGATGTTATTTGAATTCTATATATATATATATATATAAATAGTGATTGATAATGGTAATTCACATATATCATGTGAGTGATTATAGTGACATCTAAATTATATATGGATGCCAAAAAGCTGTTTATGAATATGATATTTCTATTTTCTTAGTTACATATATTACAATTAGTCTTATTTTCATTCTTTTTTATAATTATTTTTTAATTTTAATTTGGCAATATTAATAAAACATCTTCATTCTAAAGAAAAAAAAATATATATAATTTGAAATAGAGCATATTAACCTACATGGTAATTATATAATTAATTTTCTAAAATTTTTAATGATTTTAATAAATAAATTTACAAAAGAAAATTAATTAAATATTAACTTTAAATAAATTTAAAAAAAAATGATATAATTAAGTCGGTATGTATCTCATATATCATATTGTATATTTAACATTTAAACCATAATGCTGATTCGTGGGGGGTACAATCATTTGATCTTAATTTTCTCAAATATTCAAAGACTTGTGGCATTTTATTAATTAATTTATATTTTTTTAACAATTTGGACAACAGTCAAAATTCCTTTTTTTTTTTTTTGAAAACAGTAAATCAGTATATAATACATATATATATATATATATACACACCCACATATATATTTATATTTAGATTGTAGTTATTTAATCAATCGAGCACATAGATTCAATAATATATATATATATATATAATAAAATGGGGGTATAAAAATATTCCTCAATAAATTAAACCACTAGGTCTATGTATAATTTAATATTTGTAAACAAATAAATTAGTAACATAGAAAAACAAACACCTCTATTCCCAACACAAGAATAAACAAACAATTCCATATTATTTAAGAACAAGGTATGAAAGAATATGTATATACATATATATATATATAAAAAATAAAAAAAGTTCAGAAACCAAAAATATTAATTATTAAAAAATGATTAATTAAATATTAAATTGAAGCGAGAAAAGGTTGAATTGAGGATGTTGTATATGGATGTATTAGTGGAAGACTCAATAATTGTATTTTTAAATTAATTATTAATACAAGACTAATAAAAAATAAAAAAAAAATGTTTATGATGTCATTATAATAATTTTAACTAAGTATACGTAAAAATTTAAATTCAAATACATAAAAATATATTACGAAATGTAAAAATTTATACGAGTACACGAAAAGAACTATAAAAATATTTATAAGATATCGAAAACTAATACGTGGCTCAAACACGAGTAAAATAAATTACCACTCTAAGTTTAATACCTTGGTTAAATTTTCTACCTTGGCTAGTGCCAATGGATTATGAATTTCCATCAAATTTACTGGAGCTAATCTTCACTTCTGCTTGATGCAATATGCACTGTTAAAAAATGAGATTAAAAAAGAATTTCAGGATTTGGCTTACAACTTCCTTCTGCATTATTCAGAACAGAAAAAGAAACTATATACACAAAATACTCTACAAGACTACAAAAAACATCAAGGATAAAAAACACCCAGCAAGACCCATATTTCTCTCTCACAAAGATAACCGGGACTAAAACTGGGTTTAAACATGGAGGAGCAACAAGAACATTCGAGGTTACAACAGACTAAGTCACCTAGCTAGGCATCTCTTTCGTCCTCTTGTAGGAGTTCCAGCACCTGGGCTGCCACGTCGATTCCCAGCTTTTCTTGGTAAACCAGAAGCCTTCTTTGTAGCGGCTAAAGATTCCATTGATGGAGGAGAAACAGCACTGAATTGTTTTTTACCTCCGTTGGGAGTTCCACTCGCATCATTTGCCAACTTTCTCGAAGGTTTCTGGTTGACAGTGCGGATGCTTCTTGGTTTTGCAGGAGGTTTCCGCATGGTTGAGATCAAAAGCAGGTTTGGAGTGCTAGCCTTGGTGGTATTGCAGTCCTTGTAATGATGCCGGAAAGCTTTAATGAGAACGTCTCTGAGAAGTGCTGCAGATTTGTGTTCGCGAGTGTTCTTGGAATAAAAGACCAATGCATTGTTTGCCACCAGCAGCATATCCCGGAACAGCTCCTTCGCTGACACGATCAAACCATTGCTAATCCTTGATCTTATAGTGTCAAAATCCATATGCCGAAAGACCATTTTCTTGTACCTTCCTCTCTTCTGGGACAAACAAGTACAAAACAGAAATGAATCCAGTTAAATGAGAATCGAGAAGCTTGTTTTCCTGGAATGAAAACCTACTCTGGAATTCTAATACGATCAAATTCACCATACTAGACTTAATGCCTGTGTGGCCAAAATAGCAACCAAGCAGAAGAAAAAGTAATTTATAACGTATATAGCCTAAAATTTAATACTCCATACCTGGCTATCAAGCCTGCGGCAGAAAACAGAAGCACACTCATGCTGCACAATAGAATCATATATCCCCTTTAAATCATCCGTCCCACCCTGGCTTGAACCTCGGCTTTGATCATCAGTACCAGAGGGTTTGGCAATCTGACCAGAATAACCCCTTGAAGCACTAAGGACATCAGTAGCAGGGCCCAAAAAGTCACTTTCGCCAACACTCGCTTCCTTGACATCCTTCCTCTTTCTCTTCCCTCTTCTTTTCTTTACGGTAACCCCTTGACCCCCATATACAGTTTCCACTAACTTATCATTGCTCGAATCCTTTTCGGTTTCAGAAGGAAAACTTTCCAACTTTATCCCTTTTGCTTTAGCAGCTGTTGCAGCTGGAACCTCACACTCTGGCGACCAGTTTATCCGGGTCTGTTCAGTGAAACTACCAGCAGATAAAAGATCCTTAGATGTATCTTTACTGGTATATTCAACACCCTCAGATTTTTGAAATGGCACTGGTGATTCTGTTTGACTATAATCATAGTCGACATTGCAATCTTCTTTTCTTTTAGCTTTTAAGGATTCAAGTTTTGATTCCAGAGACCTGAAACTGAAAAATGAGTAATCTGCAATACATATGAAAGAACTGCAACCTATGAACATGCCAACTGCAATAAGCAAATAAATTTTCTTCTATATCTAATACTTAAAGGAACTCCACTAACCAACAGAATGTTAAGATGTGGAGGATAACCAGAACTATTTTAGGAAAAAAATGAATGCTAAAAAATGACTTCATTTGTGTATCCATCTCTTAATGTTTTCATAAATTTATTTGTTTCAAACATAACTTTCAACAGGAAGTACAAAAATTTATGCCAAAAAGAATTCTAGATAATCTTAAATCATTTCTGCTTTCATAAAAAAGATTCATTAAAAGATATTTTCTTATCAAGTTTGGATAGGATAGCAGTAAATTACTCACCCAATTGAGTCTTCTGATTGCTCTAAAGCTCTTCGCAACTCAGCCATTCTTTGCTTTCTTAGCTCTTCAAACCAAGCTCTGGTTGTAAGAAAAAAATGGAAATGACTTCCTTTTTATAAATATAAACAGTGAAGTATATTGCTATAGGTACCAAGAGGGTGCTGCCCATGCAAGAAAAAATTTACATGCTTATCAAATTATTCACAAGGTTCGATAAATTCTGTATAAAACATAAGAAATGACTTCCCATGTTACTAATGGTTCATGAGTTGAGTAAATTAAAGCCAAAATCAAGCAAAATTTAGTAGTAATGAAAGTTCACTTACGTGCATCCCGAGTAACGTTGTTGCAAGTCTTCATATTTGGCCTTACACACCTGCAATCAGGATCTACTTTTATGATAATGAATGTAAAGAACAATGTAGAAAAAAATCTGTAGACAACATCATTTATAGAAAAAGTCCAATAAAGGAAGAAATCTTATCAAGCTCTTCGACTATCATGCAGACCAAATCATCGTTAACATGGTCAAAACTGATTGCTTTTATGAGCAAACCAACTTTCATAGTGATTAGTAAGTTGAGGTTAACATGCAAAAGTTCAAGATATGTCAAGAATACAGGTTTTATTAATTAAAGGGAAGGAAGAAA